GCCATAAAAAATTAGTACAACCTGGTGATCCCATTAAAGAGGGCAATCAAAAGATGGGAATCTATGTCGACCCATTGTCGACTAGTAGCCCTCAGCCAAATGTACCACCACCATCTACAAGCACGGAAGTCCAACCATTGAATTCAAGGGGCACGCCCACAGTTTCAACCGTCCATGAAGATCTGTATATCATTGACCCCTCCCAGCTCATCTTCCTGTGCATAATACCGGCCACTCCAATTATCCCAAGGGAAACCATCCCTCATGAACCTCTTCGAGATATCCCTATGCCAACTAATAAAAATGACCCAGGGGATCCTACCCCTTCACAATCCCTGACATGGCATCAAGACATTATGATGACAATGACCCCCCAGAAATCTTGGAAGAGTTTGCCCTTCAGGAACCTCTAATACAACCTCAAGATATTGAGATGATCCCCAGTGAGGAAATTGAACAAGAAGACTGCATATCTCCTAATAGCTTGGCAGTAATCAGGATTGAAGAAGGGTATCTCACCCAGAAAACAATCCAATTGGAAGGAGCATGTGAAGAGGTTGACTCATGGTTCCAAGACCATCTTACACCCTTATCAATGGGGTTATCACTTTGCTTACAAGACATGGTTGACACTTCAAACCAACTCGTCTCAGAGCCGGCACATTACAAGAAAGGATGGGGAATCCTACCCCTATGCCACAAACAATCACAAATGGCCCAACTCCTAGTGCTCCAGTCCAAGAGGGGGCAACCTCTAGTCTTCCTAGCACCTATGACCTTCCGGCACACCTAAATAGGATCCCTGCTTCCATATCCATTCTAGATCTTCTTAGGAGCTCTCCTATTCGTTGGCACCAAATTGAGAGCGTACGTAAAGCGACACATGTATCACCCAACATTGGACCCGAGCAGCTCAGTGGGGTGATCACACAATTGACGGCTTCAAAGCCCATCACCTTCAGCGATGACGACATTCTTCTTGACACTGATTGATACCATAACAGGGCCTTTTACATAACGGTTCATGTTGCTGGCCCAGGAATCTCGAGGGTGCTCATTAACAATGGGGCAAGCCTCAACATTTGTTCAGTTAAGACTCTAGAGATAATAGGTATAGACTTAGCTTACCTAGAGCCTTCTCAACTCACCATCAATGCTTATGATGGAAGTAAGAGATAGGCTGAGGGCATTATGCTCATAGCTCTTAGTGTAGGACCTATATTCTAGATAGTTAGATTCTACGTCTCATATATAGATTCCTCCTTTGACCTTCTCTTAGGATGACCTTGGCTCGATGAAAACAATGGCCATAGCCCAGACACTTCACCATTGTCTCAAATTCCCTACGGATAGAGGGGTGGTCACCATTTATGCTGACCAACCCCAAGCTATTAACCTACTAGACTTGGATCCAGTAGGGGGCATCAATATCCCGAGAATCTTTCACGCACCTCTCATAATATATGATGAGCCTTACTGCACCACTCTCACTCTCGAAACATGTAATCCCGCTCTCGAGAAGTTTTGTAGCTTGCTTCACTAAGCACAAATCCAATTTTGCTACGATAAATACAAATATGGGTCACCTGAAGCCTGGTACATGCTTGTAACCCAAGGCTTTCATGTCGGGCATGGTCTAGGACCCTTAGAAATAGAGGCAACTGCAACAGTCATAGATTCTATGAATGCAAGACAAGAAAAACATGATTGGAGATGGTTAAGCTGCTCACACGCGCTTGTGGAAAACTATGAGGGGCCAGAATGGCTAATCAAATTCACTTTCGCCAGAATTCCAAACCCTAATTCCATAAACCCTGCTCCTCCATCCCAACAAATGGGATATCTCATTCAATTACCATACAATACCGCTTCCAAAACTTCACAGTTACCATACATCGAACGAACAAGTATTGCTTTCTCACCAGATGTCCTTGACTCCACACATATTTTAAAACTTCCAACTTCAAGTGAAAACACACATCAACCAGTCGAGAACAACATTGCCCAACTCGACTTGAGTAGCTAGAGAATGCCTGTAGTTATGGGTCACACTCTCTTGACCTCTCAAGAGGGCCAAGGATAGAATTGGTCTCTCGCTCTAATGACCTCTAATGCGCTGAAAGATTTTCGGCTGCACTAACAAACACCGGTGCCAAAAAATGAGTAGGCGCGGGGTATCCCCAGGAGTGCCCCACATGCTTGTCTTTTCATGTCACCTCATCCAGTCCCATAAGGGGCATTAATTCCATAAAATGATAAAAATATTAACAAATCTAATGAAAACCTAGATTTTGTTGAAGAAAGCACTTTCAAAGATGTAAAAATCCTAAACAAATTTGAGAATGTTGTAATGGAAGTTCCTGATGACGAGCCGGGCCCCTCTATCTCGGATCAAACAGATGAGGAAATCGAAAGTTCTTCCAAGCCAGAAGAGCTAAGGTCCCACGTTGACAATTCAAACGAAAATTTGATGGTACCCTAACAGTCGTTGTCGAGGAGACATTGGATGTCAATTAGGGTTTTGAGGATGATCCAAAAATAACCAAGGTCGAGAGTTCCTTGTCACTCAAAGAAGGAGATCAGATGGTAACCTTCCTTAAAGAATACCGGGATGTCTTTGCTTGGTCTTATAGCGACATGCTTGGACTGGACCCCGCCCTAGTTGAACATCATCTCAACGTAAGAGACAAGGCAAATGTTGTTAAACTAAAGGCCCGACGACTAAAAATGCACCTAGAACTCAAAACCAAGGAGGAAATTGACAAACTCTTAAAGACAAATTTCATTGTTCCCGTCGATTATTCTGATTGGTTGGACAGTATTGTTGTCATCCCCAAGAAGGATGGCCAAATCTGAATGTGTGTTCACTTTAGGGATTTGAATTATGCATGCCCAAAAGGCGATTTTCCCTTGTCTAACATAGATGCCCTAGTGGACAATACTGCTGAACACGAATTGCTATTATTTATGGATGGCTTCTCGGGATATAACCAAACCCGCATGGCTAAGGAAGACCAAATAAAAACATCTTTTATTACGCCATGGGAAACCTATTGCTATCTAGCCATTCCCCTTGGTCTAACCATAGAGAATGGGAAAGACTGGCATGAAAAATTACAAGATGCCTTATGGGCGTACCAGACCAACACGAAAACACCGATCAGTATGACCCCATATTCATTAGTCTATGGTATGGAGGTGGTTACGCTCATTGAAATCGATATCCCTTCCCTTACGATACTTGCTCATCGCGCTTTAGATGATGATGGAATACATGAAGCACGGTTAGCCTCCTTTCTAACCCTAGATGAAAGGCGACTCCAAGCTTGCAATACTATGTGAAGCTACCACAAACGCATCGAGCAGGCTTATCTAAGAAGGTTATCCCAAGACAATTCCAAGTTGGAGACATGGTGTCAAAGAAGATATATCATTCATCTGCCAACCTATACCCATTGGGAAAATTTAAACCTAATTGGGAAGGACCATTCGTGGTAATCAAGGTGCATCCAGGTAACTCTTACAGGATAAGAAATCAAGACAGGTTGGAAATACCTGACCCTATTAACATCTTATACCTTGAGAGATATTACCCGTAGGGAGCACACAAAAAAAAGAACAAGAAGAAAATCACAAAAACGAATATAT